TTACATAATCTTTAGATTTCAATGTTTAAAAACAAACAAAATAGTGTTTAGATGAATTTTTATGATACTAAAGTATTTCGGTTTATTTCCTTATGAAATTCTTGTTGAACAAATATGTTCTCGCTTCATTTTCGAGCCTTTTTTTAACAAAATAGAAAGCAATTGTCTTTTCCTCCATATTTTTCTTTTTGTGACCTCTTCAGAGTCAGTTGACAAATAAGTGACTTTTTTTTTAGACTAAACACGCGAGACGCTTACTAAATACCAAATAGTCTCAAAAACGATGTTCACTATGAAAAGTCACAGTCAGTGACTAGAGACTGCTTACTAGATAACGGGGTTAGACTGATTTTACTTCCCAAGCATGGTCATTGCATTTCTTGCTAGCTGACGAATCCATTGTGGAGCTACCATTTCCAAATCCATTCTTATTGCCTGAGATTACTTCCAGGCGATTTGCTAATATATGCTCCTAAATTTTACCATCAGCATAAAGAAAGCAGATTGGTCGAAAGCTAGGAGGATCCCGTGTTGGCTATCCTGGCTTTTTGAGACCAACTTTTGCTGTTTCCGAACCAATGGAAAGAATGGAAGAAGTAAATTCTTAAGTGCCAGTGTGAGGTCTTTATTCGGTACGCAATCGGACCCAGGAGCTTTATTAGCTTATAATTTTCTTGCAGCCTGCAATACTTTTGCTTTTGTTAATTATTATAACATGACTTCATTTCCGTATACATAGGGGACATCAGCCGCCTTTACTTGGACATCTTGGATACGTCATAGGACCCGCGTGCACTTGGCGCAAATGATTGTTGTAAGTAAGAAGAAGATTAATTTGGATTTTTAAACATTCGAAATTTAAAAGCATGGCCATTTGAGAAAATTTAGCACTGTTTGACTTTCAATACGGAATGTGAAATATTAGGCCCACTGCGGCTAAAATCTGTAGCAATAGTGTACATATAAACATGTATTCACATAAATCACACAAACCTACATTACAGCACTGAAAATAAATACCAAAACATAGTCAAATCTAACACTGATCATCAATTTATTTGCAGTTATCAATTTTTCGCCACTTGATTGCATTGTCGGTTTTTTGTAGAATTGGTTATTGGTCGAACTGGAGATAATTTCATTTAATATAATCAAACTACGAATGCATATGACTGCATGTACATACATATGTGGTTGCAGCTACATATGTATGTATATACATATAAAGTGGGCATAAACAACTCATACGGGATATGCAGTAAATTGCACATACATACATATGTATGAATAAGCCCAATGATGCAGCAAGACTGCTGGCTGACGATGAAAGGCAACTTTTGTACTTATGTATAAGAACTGACATAAATATAGTATATGTATATGTATATGTATTTATGTATAGTAAGTTTATCAGTAACAAAAGCGATAAACTACAAATGTCGCTTTTCGCTCCAGCGATTTGATTTCTATTTGCACATTTAGCAATTTGTGATTTGTCGTTTTGTATTGTCATCAATGATGGTCATAGCTGGAGCTAACAAATTTTGACGCTCAAGCCATTCACAAAATGATGACGCTCTAAATTTGGTCAGTCGTTGCACTAACAATAAAACCACATTTTGTTATTTGAGGAATGGCAATATTTAACACAGTTCTTGGAACATTTTTTTATTGAAAATTAATATTTAATTAGTTACGCGCCAACCCCAGTTTTACAAAAGCAACAAAATTGTTACTTCATGAAGTATGGCAAATGTTAACTAAAAAATCTATTGACTTTTTTAGAAAACTACATACACTATTGTCTTGATATTTTTCAATACATTGCAATTTCAGAGGAATAAAATTGCATTTCCTCGAATTGTTGTTATTAAAGGAGTCCGCTCGGGTCTTGAAAGCTTGAGTAATTTGCTTAACTTTTTGAAAAATTCTCGGGCGTTTTTCGTAGTCCCCAGCATTTGAAGCTCTATGCACTCTAATACTTTGGCCCCTCTCTTTTCATTGCGGCAAATACGTCTCTTTTCAGCTCCCTATAATGGTTCCACATGGCTCGCGTTTCATCCGACCGCAGCATGGCCCTGTAGGCGGCATCTTTTTTCTCTGCAGCTTAGTGAGATTCCTCATTTTACCAGTTGTTCTTTAGCCCACGTCTCCACCTTCTACAGATTCTGTTAAAAAAGCTGTGTTAAGACAGAAATGTCAGGTGGAGACCGCAAATTTCCACTGTTAAACCATATCTGTCTTGTCGAATTTCTTACCATCGCTGTCTTAACATCAGCTCTCAATTTCTAGTTTGCCAACTCAGTTTTCATTTTACCGCGCCATCTACATTAGGTACAGATCAATCTGATGGGTTTGATGCCATTTTGAAAGTGATTTGTTAAGACAGTAAGTTGCGCACATGATAAAACGGGACAAAGTTGAAACAGAAATTTGAGAGATGTTAAGACACATTTAGTAGAAAATAGAGATACTGCAATTTGCGCACTAATTTTTTGTATCAAAATATTTTCGAAAAAATTACTGATCTGTAATACTAACCAATACAAATTAGCGCACCTCAATAGGCTATACATCCACTATCACACCATGGATTAATCTTTTTACTAAAATTACCTTTACTGGGCGGCCAAACCCTTTTAATGCCGTTCAATTATTTTTTTCAGGAGTCCAGGGCCCAGGTATGTACAGTGGTGGGCAAACAAACAGTGATGCTGCATTTTAAAAAGGTTTCTTAATTTAAGGTTTATTATTCTTTTAGGAAAGTATAGCTCACTGTCTAATAAATACCATGGCTGCAATTTAGTTTGGCATCCCCGGAGTTCCGCATTAAGGTAGCTATGGAACGATAGAGGGAGTTCTCCTGATTGCAAATATATATACTTTTAGCCGCAGCAGGCTTCTAGTTTTAAGTTATTTGTTGTTAAAGTTTGTAAATTGAACTAACCTCTCGGCGCTATTTCACACAATAAACACTTTATTTATGTACACCCTCCTCAAAATAGTTACATTAAAACCCCGGCATGAGATTTCCACTTTAATATACAATTCTTAATTAATTAATTAAGTAAAACGCGTTTATAAATGTTTTCACAAACGTTTGCACATTTCACAAACAAGCAGAAATAACAATGGCTGACAGTAACACAAAATGTATGCTACCATACGTTAAAAAAATACACAAATAAGTGCGTATAATTAGGAAGTATAAGTGTACAATACGTACATATATTGCTCTTATTAAAAATAATAATATTAGGATCGATAGGGGTCTTACTCCTGATCATAACGGTATTATTTTTTTCGGGTGGAAATAATATTTACTGGTGTTATTGTAGTTCAAAGTACACAAATGTAGAAAACGTACATCGTTAATTTGATAAATAATGAAAATTTTTAATAAAAAATCGCGCGATTTTTTATTACAAATTTTCCATAAAAATCAGTACTTCGATAAATAATGAAAATTTTTAATAAAAAACCGCGCGATTTTTTATTAAAAATTTTCGCCTGCAGCGCTCTTTCCATAAAAATCAATAATTCGATAAATAATAAAAATTTTTAATAAAAAATCGCGCGAGTTTTTATTAAAAATTTTCGCCTGCGGCGCTTTTTCCGAAAAAATTAATACTTCGATAAATAATGAAAATTTTTAATGAAAAATCGCGCGATTTTTTATTAAAAATTTTCGCCTGCGGCGCTTTTTCCATAAAAATCAATACTTCCATAAATAATGAAAATTTTTAATAAAAAATCACGCGATTTTTTATTATAAATTTTCGCCTGCGGCGCTTGTCAGTTTTTTTTATATATTGGGGGTATTTAACCCCATACCCTCCTTTACTACTAATTCAACGCTGAGCAGGAAAATGGGTACGATAAAAACTATTCTCTTTTATTGTTATTTTCTTAGATGTGGCTGCACTCTTCTAATGTCAGTGTGAAACCATGGTTGAATCAACGGTTCTGTATTCACAATGTGCGTGATAATTATTAAAACTTACTTAATTTACTAAAAATACATCATAAATGTAAAAAATATGTTTATATTTCATTGTGCGGGGTTTTAATGTAACTATTTTGCCGAAGTGTCTACATAAATATAGTGTTTATTGTGTGAAATAGCGCCGAGAGGTTAGTTCAATTTACAAACTTTAACAACAAATAACTTAAAAAGTATAAGCCTACTGCGGCTAAAAGTATATATATTTGCAATCAGGAGAACTCCCTCTACCCCCCCATAGCCAACTTTTTTTTGTACGCGGGGGATGCCAAACTAAAATTTTCCCAATACCATTTAACCCTGAATTTAAAGTTTTGTACAAAACATTGGAAAATTCGACAGAGTGTCCCGCATTTGCTTCCATAAAACATATGTATGTATGTTTGAATTTTTTTTTATATGGAACGTCGGCAAAAAAAAATATTACCAAAAATCAACTGTAAGTGCAATCTTCTTCAAACTTGGACTTAATTGGAGTATAAACCTGCATACCAATCTTTTTTTTTTAATTTTTCAAACTTAAATTGAAAGTTTTTATGAAAATTTTTTTATGATATTCGTCAAATTTTTATAAATCTTGCGCAAAGATTGATATTATGACTAACATGGTGTTAAAATAAAAAGAAAAATTTGCCGAAACTTGTTAAAATATAGCGTCCCTATTTGTTTGCCCACCACCGTAGGTGTACCTTTCATTCAGGTTTATCTTAAAAATTATTCGGCATTAAAGTCACTTACTGATAAGCTAAATGCTGAATATTTGTTTAATGTGCAATCTTGATTCTTGACCATCCACTCCTATGAATGTGATCTTCAACATCTTCTATCCGAGTCTATTTTGTGTTTCTCGTACTTTGGGCAGCTTTTCCTCAACTAAATATCGAATTAAAAAGTTGCGACCAAAAATTATCACATCTTAAATCAGACTTCTTACATCTCTGAATTAATATTCAAGGAGGCTGTATGTACATATGTATGTGTACATGTATATACATAATTAATTTACCACAAATTGTGCATATCTTTAAAAAGGTCTACCAATTCGAAGAATTTTTATTAAAGTACACATTTGCATCTCTCACATCTCAACACAAATCCTTAAAGTATAAAATTAACGAAATCAAAAATCATTTTCTTGTTTCATATTTCTTAACCAAAAGCCAATTAATTAGTGAAAATAGCAAATTTCAAAAATAAATATGTTTACTTAGCCCCAGTAGTTCCATGGACGGCCCCAACCACCTCCATAACCACCCCATGCGCCCCAACCGTAGCCACCCCATGGACGGCCCCAGGAGCTACTATAGTAGCTCCATGGATGACCCCAACCATATGACCAGCCGTAGCCATACTGACGAGCCGCTCTCGGTGCATCGTTGCCATGTTCACCGCCCGCATCGACATCCAAAAGATTTGCTGCACCATCGGATTTTGACTCATCTAATGTTGCAGTTGATGGTGATTCATCGATTGCCGCTGCTTCGGTCTGATATAGGAAGGCAATTGCAGCCAACACTGCTAAAGTTATGGTAGATCCACGCATCTTAAATAACGAATAAGTGCGTAGCTGCGTATGTGTGAGATAGAACGCGTTGACTGAACACCGAACCCGATAAAGGCGAACTGTGTCTATTAACAGTGAATTGCTCCATATTTATATGCAACACAATAGTTAGCATAGCTTATTGATATGCATATGTATGTGTGTATGTATATGAGAATTATATTTAAACCGCTTTTCTTTACAAAATGCACCCACATGAAAAATTTTTGCCGATGTACATATAAACATACGTACAATACTAGGCATAAGCATACTTATGTACGTATGTACTGCTTGTATATAAATAGTATGTATTTATATTAAATATGTTATATATTTTAGCCAAAGTTCGAAGCAAAAATTTTATAGGTAATATTTTGAACGTACAAAGCCGATTTACCGAAAAACAAAAAATATTTAAAATAAGTAAGGCACGTGTTGTTGTATTCATTTTTATTTCAATAAATAAGTTATCTTTTTTGGGTTTTCTACATTTTACATTAAATTATAAAATGTTTATTTCAAAAGTAATCTTCTACAGCTTTTCAACCACTAACATTTTACGTGGGATACATACCCATAGATTAGGGTGGTCCAAAAATGCATGTCGAAATGTAAAGTCGAAATTTGTATGCTCTCAGCCCTAGGATTTTTCCATATCGAAACAGATATGCCTACCTCTATTTTTTAATTTGAAATAAAGACATATGTATAGAGGTCGCTGAAAGCGCTCAAAATTTTCGGTGTATTTTATAAGAGAAAAACACTTTTCGTAGAAATGGTATAGAATTCTTGAAAATTAATCTATTTCGATCTGAAAACTCTGTTTCTCTTTAGGAGATTCCCAATAATAATATACAGTTATTTCTTTACCCATTTTTTCAAAGTAACTATATATTATAGGTCCGGCCGAAACACACAAAAATGCCAGAAAATGCAATGGCGTAAAAAATAAAAAATCTTTAGTATTGGAAAATGTTTAAATAAGCAATTTGGTATTGTTATTGTAAGTCTCCTGAAGAGAGCCGGAGTTTTCCGGTCTAAAAATATAGATTTTCAAGAATTCTATAGCATTTCTACGATTTTTCCCCCCATATAAAATAAATGGCGACCCGTAAATATGTTTTGATTTCAAAATAACAAATAGAGGTATATTTTTTTCGATATATAATAATTCTAGAGGGTACGAGCATTAAAATTCCGACTTTATTTATTTTGAACCACCCTAATGTAGAGACATATATGTAAGAGTTGATACTTAAATACATATTCACATATTTATATATTTACCTATACGCATTAATGAAGAAACAAAATGCCACTTACTCAACGATAAAATTGATACCCATGACTATGCGCAATCAAGCGCATATTTTATTATTGATATGTTAAGCAACCTTGAAATAGTCACAGAAATCTTAAAGATCCGTAACGCAATACTAAGCGGATAATATAGTTAATAATTTATATTTGATATTCTATGTTATTTAATACGAGTTTTCGATTGTAGTAGGAAAAGTGTAATAAGAGTCCTCGAGGCTGCACAATGCCTATGATAACTAAATGGTGATTCAAGGCAGTTATTGTGAAAAATGAGCTTGCAACGCGTTGGCTGAAAAAAGCATTTACCCCTTATTTGTTTTTTTTTTTTCATTCATCTATGAAACAGTGGTTTCTTACAGACTAGTTACGTAATAAAAATAAGTCAACATTTAGTGTTTATCATAAGAGGCATATGTCTAACTATTGAAAATGTCATTACATGACTTCATTTTCCGTAAAGTATACATAAATATTTAATTTAAAGAAATTAGTGTTTTTCCGTGCTTTTCCTAATTTAATGGACTGCATACATCTTTTTTCTGTTCCGTCCGTTTTGTTGTGGCACACTGAAGCTATTACGTATCTTTGCAAGCATATACACTTTTGCTAGGTTATTTAAGATGGAAATGGAAATACATATGTATGCCTTCTGAAAACCACCAAATCGGAATATTAGAAGATAAATGCGTTACTGAAAATCATGAACGTGAACTGTTGGTGAACATGTTGGACCAAAATGTTTCAAACCAACAAATTACTTTTGGGCGGGACGATATTCGCCGGGTCTGCTAGTTTCGTATGTTAAGCTACATCAAAAATTTAGACATCATATCTACTCCGATGCCTGCTAAAGTAAAAACTCTACCACAAGTGCATTTGCCCAGTTCTATACTCATAAGTGACCTGGGAGCTTATTTTCACAGACGGTTCCAGATAAGATACAGGCTGTTCTTTTGCGGTAACAAAAGGGCTTGGTGTTATAATTGTCGTCGGTGCTTTTCCCGCGTACTGCCCGGCATTTACAATTGCTAAAAGCTATATGTACGTTTCGCCTCTAAAAACGAAGGAAATTTCCTCACATGCACGGACAGTAAATCAGCCATCGAAGCCCTCTTCAACAGTGCTAATGATTCTCATATAATTTCGAAATCACGTGAAATACTCTTTTGATAAAAAAAAAACACCATCAAAATTATGTGGCTACCTGGGCACGTCGGAATAGAAGGGAACGAGTTTGCAGACAAATGATTTATGTGTTAAAAACTTAGTTTAACATAACATATACATTTTTTTTCTGCAAAACCCGCTATTAGCACATTTTTTATATAAATACTATAACTTGTACAGTACGCGATAGAGAAAAGTTTCGCACGCATCTCGATTTCCCTATTTTGACTCTAGCTAGAGTGAACATCTTTTAGAGTTGCCCTACCGTGTAATTTTAATTGAGAGGGGAGTTTTTAATTACAGCAAAACTCTAGCGAAATTTCTCTACCATGTACACTAAGGGTGCGTTCACACAGAAATCCGAGTGGCGCCGAGCGAAGCGAGGCTAAACAAAGCAAAGCTGCTGGTGTTCACACTGAACGAAGTGAAGTGGAACTTTTCTGACGGACTCTGCTGCAAAGATACCACAAAACTTACAGTCAATGAAAATCGGCAAAAATATTTTCCCAATTTTATTGTAAAAATATTTTATTGTAAAATTCGCTTTTATTTGAATATTTTGATATTTTGTTTGCAACAGCGTCATAAAACATAAAAATTAAATAGAATATTAAAAATCAAAAATTGTTTTGCTTTCAGCTCCAAGACGCTTATGAAAAAGCTTGCTATATGAAAACTTTCATATATTTAGTAGCTAGAGCAATTTGAAAGCTTCACTCAGCTCGGAACAGCGTGGCACGGCTCGGCTCCGCTTTCTGTGTGAACGCACTCTTAACTTAATATTTATATCGTGAAAACACTAAACTTTTATGCAAAACTTAATTGCTAGTTGCTGTAAAATAAAATAGTGAGCTTTTTTTTTGCAAAAATGTCAAATCCCTCACCGACTTAGAATTGAACAGTAATATTCTCTCAACTGTCAATGCTTGTCAAACTATCAGCGGATTTCCAGCCAGTGCGCCTTTCCGCTGCATAAAATATTTTTTTTTTCTGTTGCTGAACCAGCCGAGTATGAGATGTTGCTGCATACTGGAAAGGATTTTGACGACAGCAACAATAGCAATGCCATCTTGCTTTGACTTTTCTGCTGGTAAGTAGGCAAGAAAAAATTGCCTCTAAAGATCGAAGTAAAATAGAGAGGTGAATGAAACTCTTTCATTTCTTTCATTCATTCAAGTACTTAATCCGCTTCCACAAATGATGAGTCGGCGTTGAGTCGTCATCATGGCTGTAGAAATTGTATGCTCTTACCATTGTACTTACATACACATATATATTTGTAAGTATGTACATTAGAGTGGTTCATAAAAACACTGCATCAAAATATTGTTATTTGTGATAAAAAAGAGGAACATATTTTTTTTTATGAAAATCTTTTAGTTTGTGATAGGCTTGTCTGATCTGTTCTTTTTTTTATTTTTTTAATTTTTAAAGTTCGCGATAGTTGGCTTTTTTATAAAAACGCTGACCTTATAATTTTTCATGACATGTTAAAATGCAGCTGGTAATGTGGTTTTTACATATAATTTCTGGTATTATTGGGGAACTTTCCCTTAATTACATACCTGTCTTGGACAGTTATATTGGGCCTAGTTCCCGAAAATATGCTCTCGAAAAGAGACTACTAAAATTAAAACGTTGATAGTGAACAATTTACGCTTTGTAATTTGTTAAAACTTGTTACCGGGGGTTTCTGGAGTTGCTAATTAGAAATATGAAGTCAGTTTTTTAAAATTCAAAATGGAGGATCCAAAATGGCGACCAAATTTAAAAAAAAAAATCATTGGATTTGTTTGAAACTCTTAACCGCCATTTTGTATTTTGAAAAAGATTCGTAATCAGTAACCCCTTAACCCCATCAAAAACATATCCACGTTTTAATTTTAGTAATTTCTTTTTTAATCTGATCGCCATATTGGATCCGCCATTTGGTATTTAAAAAAATGTATTTCAGATTCGTAATCAGCGGTTCCAAAAACTCCCTGGTGTCGGGTTTCAAATAAATGCAATTTTTTTTTTTTAATTTATCACGATTTTGGATCCGCCATTTTGAATTTTGAAAAACTAACTTCAGCTTCTTAATTAGCAACCCCGAAAACCCCCTGGTCAATGTTTTAATTTTAGTAGTCTCTTTTCGAGAGCATATTTTCAGGAACTAGGCCCATCCCAGCTGTCCAAGAAAGGTATATAATTAAGGGAGTGTTCCCCAGTAATACCAGAAATTATATGTAAAACCCACATTTCTAGCTGCATTTTAACATATCAGAAAAAAAATGATAACATCCGTTTTTTATAAAAAACCGTCCATCGAGACCTCTAAGAAATCTTTTTTTTTCAAAATTAAGAAAACAGGTTTCTCTTTTTTATTACAAATAACAATAATTTGAGGTAGCGTTTATCAATTTCCAAAAAAAAATTTTTTTTTAACCAGTCTAATGTACATATATAGGTACGTGCAACTTTTTTATTATCAGCATCTTCATTATTGCCTAGAACCAACGGAGTTTCAATACCAACCTAGCTGCTGCTTCGACATCATCAGCTTTAGCTGAATCCTTCAACGTATGTTACGTAAACGCC